ATATTTGATCGCCAAATGTTATTTGAATAGTACTTAATATTTACTTTAAACCATTCATAAGATTCATAAGATTTTAACACTTTATTTTAAATGTAGTAATTTAATAGTAAACTGTGACAAACAATCACTGACAACTGTTGTTGTTTTGAACTGCTCAGCAACCACGAAATAAAAGTGAAAGAAATTTCCGATAGCTATTATCCTCCAGATAATTTACACTTTTTTTTTTTGACTCAGCATTCATTATTGAATCCTTCCACAAATTTTTTAGTTTATTAAAGCATTTTTTGATCGACTATCGTCAAATCACGACACTGCTAATTTCTTGACTCTTGCCATACCCGCCATACAGAATAGGACTTTTCACAGGTTTAAGTGTTCATTTGATTGAATTGTTGCCATCAGCCAGTAGCATTATTTCACACATGATTTTCAGACCAATTTTTGACCAACCAATTAACTAACAATGTATTGCTGTGACCCAGAATTTCTAATCTTATTTTGAACAAAATAAATTTTAAAAATTTCAAACATCAATTTAAAAAAAAAAAAAAAAAGCGGGAGGAGTTTCGTTGGAAGAATTTAATGTGCACTGTAAGCAAGAATTAGGAAAAACTCTTCTGATCATATGGCACATAATTACAACAAATGTATACATACAAAAATAGATACTAAAATGAAAAAATGTTTTGTATCGGTTAAACAGTACAGTTTACAGAAAATTATTATCAGCCAACGCCTTTGTCAGTGTTCTGTGTTCTTAATCCAACTCCATCTACTCGTTTTTTATTTCCGTTTTTTATTCATTCCAAATTGAAAAACTAGTGTACAGAAAAAAAAAAGCAAAGGGTCAGTCGGTTAAAATATCACCGCTAAAAGTCTGTCTAAAATTGGGAAAAAAGATTTTTTTTCACGGTTTTTTAACAATGAAAATTATTTCTGTAAAATTATTCAATTGTTATCCTAATAGTCTTTGCCGTTTCAGTCATCAAAATGCTATGTGATGCACAAAACTCCTTTCAATTTTTTTTCTTGTTTTTTTTTTTTTCTTTTAACAATATAAAATTCCAATCAGCATACGGGTTCCATTGAATACCGTGATTAGAAAGAGAAAAAAGATTAAATGGGCAAATTGAAACTGAATATTGAAAAAGATGAGCTTTGCCTTCGTTCCAGCTCCTGCTAAACATCACTATATGATAATGTTTCATTTCTGTTTTTTCTTTTCTTTCCCCTTAATTTCATCTGCTTGCATAGATACTATTGAATAAAGAAACGCAAAAAAAAAGAAAAAAAACGATCACTTAAACAACAATACATCAAGTCTAGTCTAACGGACTTCCACCAACCAGACTTACCACAGGCAAGCCTCCACCACTCTCCAATCAAATGAAACATTTATCTCTGTCACACCAAACAAAAAAAAAAAAAAAAAAACACTCGGATACATAAATTTTCTAGAAAAATTCATTTGATTCATAGCATCACCATCACGCCTATCATCACATTTCATAACTCTTTCCTACTGTCGCATCTGCCCAGCACTCTGCTGTTACTC